GGATGACGGTGAAGGCAAAAGAGTGCGAGTCAGATATGTTTGGTGTGTCATAAGTCTCACTGATATCGAGTTCAATTTACACATGTAATTAAATATGTTTTTATTTATATATTTTAATTTTTTTTGATAAAAAGATATATCTACTCAATTTTTATTTTTTATTTTATTGAGAAACTTATTTCTATTTTCTTTCAAAAAGTTTCATTTAATATTCTTAAAAATTTGCGCAATAATCTAATGGAAAAAAATACAAATGTTTAAAACTAAGATTTAATTAATAGATTTGTATCTAAGATTCAAATTTTATGTTACAAAAAATTTAAAGGTTCGAACCTAACTAGTTCCAATTTAAACTCAAATTAATTTCTAAACATTCGATTAAGTTGACTACCTTCCATTCAAATATAAAAAAATTCAGGGTATAATTTAAATATGAATATTTTATTTACGGAATGCTTGGTGAAACTAAAATTAAATAAAATTATTTTATGTTTATCATCATATTTTAATTTTCATGATGAATTAAATTTATGCAAGGAAACATGAATACAAAATAAATATATATTATTTATTTTAAATGGAAAATATTTTTTATTGTAAAAAGTGATTTTTTGTAAAAATATAATAATAGATGGTTGAAAAAATAATTGAAATCCATTGGCTCAAACTTGAGACCGAAGAGGAAGGCCACAATTATGAAGCAGACCACTTTACCAAATACTATTTTCTACTTATTTCATGGAGTATTTGGGGAAACTATTAATCATAAATGCATACTCGATATGATCGGAGAATCCCGAAATAATTAATATCATCCATAAAGCTGCAGTTTTTCCGATAGAAATGAAACGCGCTCAAAATCTTTTGTGACACCTTTTTTATGTAATAGTTTCTCAAGATGTTCTAGCTACCTGTCATGGAATAGTTGATTGTTTTTTCTTGACAATTATAAATAAAAGATGAAAATTTTCGAAAATCATCGTTTTTTCTCGCCAAAACCGCACCTCAACCATTTGGTGACAGTTTTTCACTATCATTGAAAATTTGGTTTTCATGACAGTTTTTAACTGTCATAAAATTAACAATATCTAAAAAGTCACATTTTTTCCTGTAAAAAACGTGCCGCCATGATTACAGTTTTTTTTCTACAAACTTTTTTACTATTTACAATTGTTATGGAAGACCATTTTTCTAATAGTGGTTTCAACAATAAAAAAAAATTGGATTTGTGGTCAATTTCTATATAAACCCACATTTTGTTTGAATCTATCATAAATTTGAAAAATGAATTGGGAAAATGAGATTTTCATGTCACTTTAGGAAACCTCGAAAATTATATATATTAAAAATAAAAAAATTGTAGGATGAGAATGAATTAATTTTAGATAAATGGAAAGAAAGATTCATATTTTTTAGTTCAACAATACAAGGAGGTGAGAATTTGAATTTTTGATATATCTTTTAACAGACAGCTATATTCAAAATATGATAAATAGAAGTATGTGTGTAAATGATATTACATCATAGTTAATAAAAGGATAATTATAAATATAAAAAAGATAAGAAAACATGTAAATTAATGTTTACCATGACGTAGGTTAATAAGTGATTTTATAATGTCAACTTGAGTAAGGTTCTTGACTTTGATCAAAACGTCGTAGATTCGAATCTTCCACCCACATATATAATTTGTTGTACTACAGAAAGTGATTTTATAACTATATTTAAAAATCATCCATTTCTTTTTACCGAAACAAACTATCAAATTAGGTAAACTAATAATTACTTTAGAAAAATATATTATATTGATTAGTACTACAAACAACTACTAATATGTTTAAAGGTCAAAGCGAGTAGAGCTCAATAATAATTCATATATCTTTAATCATGAAATTGTGAGTTCGATCTTCCGTACCCGTATGTTTTAATTAAAAAAATGTTTTTATGAATAATTTTTAAAAAAATATGTTTAAATGAAAGGTTAGTTGTATCTATAGACACAGGTACCTATGTTTAACTAGAAATATAGTTACTCATTGGAATTTCCTAAACAATTATCATGGATATCGTTCACTGGTGTTTTGATGGAACAGACTTCAATTATTTAAATTTTTACATTTATTTTAATTCTTCTACTTTTAAAAAGACTAAAATAGTCGCTTTTTAAATATTTAGGACCAAAACTAATATTTAAAACCACATGAAATAAATTAACAAAACTTAAAAGTATAGGGCGTAAATAGACATTTTGAAAGTATATAGACTAATTAATCAATAGTGAAGATATCAAGATCAAAATAGTATTTAAACATTTTTCATTCTCGACATATTTGAAAAACAACAAGCAATAATCATTAAAGAAAATAATTTTCGTTGCTTTGTCTCGATCCATTGAACTTAAAGCCTTTGATTTTTTTTGTCTTAGTTTTTTTTCCTGAAGTTCAATGACCGTAGGTCGGGATCGAACCCAATGACTTTATGAATGATAATAGATAGACGCTTTATCTGTTGGATTTAAACGTGTGAAAGAAAGCGTAAGAAACTTATTCACATATACGTTGTGAATATGTTTGTGGTTTTGTTTCTTTTAATATTAAATTTGGAGTTATTTATTTAAATGAAAAAGTTTTCTTTATTTTGTTAACCTGTAACTTTATGTATGTTAAATTTACAAATATGAAAAAAAGTTACATACGTATTTATTTTTGTGTGATAGGTTACGTGTTTGGACAACTATATATAGTCGTGGATTTCTTCATTTTGAGATATCCAAACATACCTCAATTAAGTATTCTCCTCATCTCACAAGAATTTTCTCTTCTTTTCGAGTTCTTGTTCTTATTTGTGTTGAGAGCAAGTGTCTAAGAGTTCTGCCAGATCCAAGTAGTTCGAGGTTGCAGTTCTACCGGAGTTAGTCGTTGTATCCTGTTGAGACGATTGTTGTAGTCTGCTAGCAACTTGTGCAGAGCGAATAATTGTCTGTAGGTCAACGCTATTGAAGCGTGCCTCGACTATTTTATCAAGTTTTGGTGTTCATCAAGTTGTTCAAATTTATATCTTTTATAGCCAGTTACGTTGTAACAATCTGTTTGTCAGTACAACATAATTCATATTTATCCAACATTATACACTTGAGCTATAACCACATTAGCACCTTATGATTTTAGTTGATATAATTTTACAATAACATATTTTATTACAAATCAACCTGATAGCTTATCATAATTAGTAACCTCAAAATCAAAATTCATTAGTGAGAAACTTCAATTTGAAAAATTTTCATTTTCTTGTGGCTTACAATTTCTCTCTCTCTTTCTCTCATAGAAAATTTGCTTCCTCTTTCTCCATGTTTCCCATTTTGGTTTTCTTTATGAATGAGAAACTTTTAAAATTGCCAAAGTTAACTATTTTGGATTGAATATTGGAAGAGAGTAATATTTCCCTTACGTGAGAGAAAGCTCTCTCACACTCTCCAACTTTTTCGTCACTTTCTTCATTCACTACTCTTTGATTGTGTCTTCACTTAATTTACCGGAGAAAGGGTTAAGGAGCCCAAGCAAAAATATCTTAAATCTAACATATTTTACATGCTTTTTTAATTTATTCTTATTTTAATGAACTCTCTAAAATTCTTTGGARTCTAAAGAAAAAACTAAGATACTTCTGAAGCATCTTCTAGAAAGACTAATACATCTAAGAGAGATATGTGGAGATTTCGAGAAGTTTCTAGATAGGTAGCAGTTGTACTTCCATCATAAGACGTGATTGTTTATCCAATTTAAAAATAATGGTATATAAAAATTTATTATTATTTTTTTTGTTAACAGAAAAGACCAAATATAGTGTCAAAAGTTGGCATGGTTTATTTTCTTGTTCAACATCATCAATAAATCTTAAATCACATTAAATTTAATTAGATTCAAAAGCTAACAACAAATAAGCTCACATTTTTCATTCACTATTTATATAGTACACAATAAATTTATTTAATTCGTAACTGATTTAATTAAGTTCAAGCACTTTCTGCAAGATTTTATCATAGCTCATGCTTTTAACTTATAGATTAAACTTCTTATACACAATTCTAAATAAAGTTTATTAATTTAAATTTGATTTAAAGAAGCTAGATCTACTTGATCTTTCTCCAAAAAGAAAAATAAATAAATAAAAAAGGTTAGACTTGAAAGCTAAAGTGCTCTTTGGTAGGTTTTCGATGTCTAATTTTATTAAAAAAAAAACAGAGACAAAACAAAATGTGATTAGTGGATCCATATCGGCCTAACTAAAGATTCTAGATCCTTGCCAAAACAARCATAGTTCAGCCACAAAACAAAATGTGATTAGTGGATCCATATCGGCCTAACTAAAGATTCTAGATCCTTGCCAAAACAAGCATAGTTCAGCCATAATTGTTGTACTAAAAAAAATTATGGATCCTCAATTCATTTTTTTCCCTTCATTTGGATTTTGAGATTAATTTCATCTTACAACAAAACACAAGAATTATAATTGAAACTACATAGTTGATTTTTTTTTACATCTGTGTGTTCGGGCCAGCTTACACGCACCTCGACTATTCACGGGCAACCGACCCTACTATATTTGGTTGACTAGGAAACTCGTAGGATTTGAACATACAATAAAGTTATCACCAAACCACCTAATTTGACGGTATTCGAGTTCAACTTTCCTGTGTATTTGTCTCCAATAAGACTTGAGATATCGAATTTAACCATTATAAAATGGTTTAGTTGTCAATAAAGATCAATGTAAATAGTAAAGACTTAGAAAGAATGAATTTAAACTAGAGTGCCACCTGCCTAAGATTTACGTGTTTTCTTGGCAACATATATACATATATATTTATATATAGTTTCCTTTTAAAAAATGAACAAAATGTTTACCCCTCCTGGCCTCCCTATGTTTCTTTGAACTCTTTTTTTGCAATAAAAATGATAAAGGAAAATATTTTACTTGAATTCTTTTTAAAGAAATACTTACTGTAGAAGATTATTATAAAATTGGTTCAATCAATGAACCAACCTCATTTAATGTTGTCACTTGTCAGTGATTAATTAATGAGGATAGATTCTAGATGGTAGAGAGATAAATAATAGTTGAGAGAGAGTTGGGGAGTTTGAAATTAAAGAAAATAGAAAAAAAAAATTTTGGAGAAAACAAGGGTGATGCCAATTTCTTTTACAAAAATTATTAAAAATTGTTAGAGGGATTACAATTTCAAACTAATTGGTTTGATGGAATGCATGGCGGATTCCTCTCATAACTATTGTTTGTTTTTTTAATTTCTTAATAATCCTTCAATGCAAGTTTAAAATCTATAGATCTCTAATACAAGATCCAAATGTAGTTTGCAATTAAGAGTTCTATTTTAAATCACTATTTTTCACACCTTTTCGCTTTGCTTTCCTTTTTCAAATGAAAAATATCTCTCATTTATTTAGACTTTAGTTTTGAATATTTTATTACAAGATATTTTAGTCCTGTTATTTTCTAACCATGAACCTAATTCAATTGGTTAAGACATATATTTTTAAAAATCGAAGAATGTTAAAATTGGTTGAACTAAAAGACACCTATATACATTAGGTATATCTATAATTTGCAAAATAGTTAATAATAAAAAATCAAGAAAGAAAGAAAACAATAAACAAAACTATAAAGACTTTCAAACTATGGAGGTGAAGGGGAAAGGGCATGGAGGAAGAGAGACATGTTCATTACCTTCAAGCATTAGCATCACATTTTTCATGGTGGGTCTTTTGGATGGATCTTCTTGAAGGCACCAAATTGCAATTTTCACAAATCTTTCCACCTTCACAAACTCATCCATGGCCTCCATGTCTCCTTCAATCAAAACATCCAACTTTCCTTGCTCATAGCAGTCATAGGCCCAATCACTCAAAACTGCTCCCTCTCCTTCCATCTCCACATTCCTTCTACAACATATGATCTCAAGCAACAACACTCCATAACTGTACACGTCGACCTTCGCGTTCACGGGCGAAGATCTGAACCAGTCTGGAGCCACATACCCTTTTGTCCCTCTTATGCCAGTTTCAGTTCTACTTTGGTCCACCTTCAACAGCTTTGCCAGCCCGAAATCACAGATTTTGGCATGGTAATTCTCATCCAGAAGTATGTTTTGAGGCTTTATATCACAATGGATGATGTGGGTGCTGCATTCTTCGTGTAGATATAACAGTCCTCTTGCAATTTCAATGGCTATTTGAGCTCGAAGCTTCCAACTCGGTTTCAGATCGCCATTGAAGAGGAAACTCGACAATGAGCCATTGCTCATGAACTGGTAGACAAGCATACGGTTGTTCCCCTCGTCGCAATATCCGAGTAGACGAACCAGGTTTTTGTGGTGCGTTTGGCCAATCACGTTCACTTCAGTTCTGAACTCCTTCTCTTTGTCTGCTTCAAACATTCTGTCCAGTTTCTTGACAGCAACAGGACCAGCTTCTGTTGTCCCTTTGTAGACAATGCCACAAGATCCCCTTCCTAGTTCTTCCTTGAAACCATCTGTTGCTTTGTAAAGATCTTTGTAAGCAAACTGGATTAAATTACATTCCAAAGCGACATTCTTTGTGCAAGTTCCAACTAATATCTCCTTTTTCAAGGCAAACAAACCTAAGCATTTGGAACCCAGCAATATGAAGATGACAAACACAGAGCAGCCCAAGAGTGCAGACATGACAACAATTATTGTGGTTTGTTTCTTTCGTGTTCTATTATCATCAGGGGAGCTCTCGAGTGAGACATTACTTTTTCTTAATTTAAGGAAAGAAACGGATGTAATACTTGCATCCTGTCTCCCATATGTGAGCGGTGGCCTTTTCTTCCAGCAATCACGGCCTCCAAACACCGCTAGCACGCAAAGGCAATCTTGCAGGCAAGAACTTTTGCAGTCTTGTTCATTTGAAGTGGGAAAACGCTCATAATCATTCATTGGCCAGTTAGTCTTTGGAAGATCCACCATCTCATACAGGTTATGGTTGAAATTGGCAGCACCTTCTTCTTCTCCTTCACAACCTTGTGTAAAATCAGGTGTGCAGTTACCAAACTCATCGTTTGGATCAACCAAGGAATAACCCTGTGCACAATTACAACTTGGCCTTCCATTAGATTTCAGTGTGCAAATACTGTTGAATCCACAGGTTCCAGAGCCAAGTCTTTCAATTGGATTTACATTAGAAAGACAGATATTGTCAGGTATTCTAAACAAATCTTTCCAGCTTCCATTGGCAACTCCACCAGAGCCCTTGGGGTAAGAACTTACAGTCAAAACTCCATCAAAGTTCATGGTGGCTTTGTAATAATAAGCCTCAATTGGGTTACCATCACTAAGCTGTGTAATGTTAACTTTTACTCCATTATTTTTCAGAACATACAGAAATCCATGTTCATCAAAAATCACTTGTTTCCCAGAATTCTGTGTGCTCGAAGAGTCAAAAGTGTTGCTAATATAGTATGCATCATACGGATAGCCAGAGGGCAAATTAATGGTGTTCGAAACAGCATTTCCATCTCGAAGCAAACGAAACTGAAATCTTCCGAGTGAGAAGTTACCTTGCGATTTGCGAGAGGAGATGACGCCTCCAATCTCCAATTTCTGCGTCGGAAGCAACGTGTCTGTTGGATAGGTGAAGCTCTCCCATACGGATCCATTGATTGTATCCACAAGCACAAAATTGCCTGTATCGTTCATCGTGCCAAACGCGACAGGGGCCGTTATAGGCTCCGATTTCCAAATTTCTCCGCCGCTAGGGTTTCGAAGAACCAGGCCGTCTGAAGCAGTGAGCTCAATCTTCGATCCTCTCGGCGCCAGAACTGGATTGTCGTCGTCCGCTTCGGCGAACCAGACGACGTTGTTTTCAGGTACTTTGTAAAACCAGATGGCAAGCAAGAATAAATCATTGCCATAGTTGTGAAATCCAAATGCGAAATCGCCGGAAGGAGAACGCCATGGCTGAACGGAAGCGTTGCCGGCGATGAGAGAGGTGCCGGCGAGTTTCCGAGTTCCATTACTTTGAGCAGACACGACGACGAAACTCAGGAACAAAAGAAGAAACACAGTTCCGGAAGCCATAGAAGTTTTTTTGAGCTACTTCGAGGATTAAACACTCCAGAATCATGTACTGTACTTCCCCTTGTTCTTCTTGCTTGCTTTCTGAAATTGCATTTTAAAATGGAAAAATGAAGCTTTGACCCCTTCTTTCAAATCGTCGTTGAAAAATCAAGAGCCAATTTTCAATTTCGTCTTTAATTTTTTAAAATTTTTAAAATTTATCCTTTTAACCTTTTACCCTTGAGGAAAAAAAAWATATATATATATATATATATATATATATTTGTTAATTTTTTTTCTAAGAAAAAGGCTCATGTATCTTGTTATAATTACATATTTAGACATGTAGATATGTCACTCGGAAGATATTGAGTTTGAGGTAGGTGTCAATACCATTGAACTATATTCGTCTTAACCTAATTGTTGGTCAAATTTTACTAATTAACGAGATAGATTTCATATTTCATGTAGCATTTGGATGACATGTTCACTTGTTTAAATATATGAATGAAATAATGATTTAGTGATATATCAACAGTTTGTTAACTAAATGAGACTTTTTTTTTTATGTAAGGGTAAAATTAAGAATTAATTCAAAAAGATTAATAACCATCTTGCATATTTTATCCTAAAAAGGAAAAAACAATCTTGCATATTTAGCCCTTTTTTAATCAAAATAGAAATTTAATTAGAAGATCCATTTTCTAAAATGTTAACCTAATTGTTAATACAAGGATTAAAGGTCAAAGCTTCAAAGCGAGTATAGCTCTGCTTGACATATATATAGCAGATATTGAGGTTGGCAAAAATAACTGAGGTATTGAGGTTTGCAATGGTAATTGATATATTTTTTAGCTTTATATGATCATTTTTGTCATTATCGATTAAAAGTTATCGACTATAATAACAACAATAACTTATCAACTTGTATTTTATTTCATCATGACGCGTCTTCTATTGGACTAATTTTTTTTTTTTTTTATTGTATTAGAAATTTGATGCCATTTTTCAAAACTTCAATTTTTTTAATTTTGAAGTTGAAAGATTAGGTGTGTGATTGACGTTGACAAATCAAATAGTTTGAACTTCATGTATTAATTAAATGGCGGGTCAGTTTCAAATTCATGGTTGAATGTTCTTTTTAATTTAGTTTTTGTTGATTAAAAAGTTCTAATTTAATCCGGTACATTTTAATTTTAATTTAGTCATTCAATATTGGTGAATGTTAAAATCGATCAATGAAAAACTTGCAGGCGTAATACTTCCTGAATTGATCCAAAATTTTGGAAAAGGAAATATGTTATCTAGAGAATAAAACTCAAAATTTCTACTAATTTTTTAAAAATTTAGCGGAGGAATTTGAAACTCCTCTTGTTTTGTGACTTATTTCCTCTAAATTTCATCTATTCACCAAATATTACATCATATACGTTTATCCTAAGCTAATTTTAATATTTGCATAGGGTGAAAGACTAAATCAAAACTTTTTAAAAATAGAGACTAAATTGGAAAAAGAAAAGTAAAATATTTTTTAGCCTTTTGAATTTAGTGCTGTTTATAACTTTTGAAAATTTGTTATATCGATTTTTGTGCTTTTTTGAAGGTTCAAAGTTGATGGGAACTGACTCCATCAACCCAATGCCTTGGCCACGTTGAAAGTCATTTAATTGGACAAATTAGCACTTTTGTGTTTTATTTTATAATGTTATTAAAGTTTTAAAAAACTCGTACTGAGTTTGAAAAATTATTTAATAAAAATATGAAAAAAAAATTAAAAAGTAGGCATTGTTTTCAAATTTCACTCATGATTACGTTTCAACAATCAAATTATTAAATAAAAATATGAAAAAAAAATTAAAAAGAAGGCATACAATATTTTGGTCTCCTTTCAATCTCCAACGAACCCGAGTTCAAATCGAACGAGAAACTCGTAAGAAAGGGTTCCTTGTCCGTATCTAAAACGAGGAGTTTCCTCGTTCCAAATTCAATGAGGAAACAAGTATTTCTCGTCCAAATCTAGGACGAGGAACACATTCTTGAGGTTTTAGAGCAAAGAGCGGTGGTGAGGAACCGTGAGGAAAGAGGCGGTTGACAAAGGGAAATGATGAGAGAGGAAGGAGAGAAAGTCCAGCCCCGGACCATTTAGAGCATTTTCCTAAACATCAAGAACCAAAAGTCTCCCTTTCGAAACCTCAACAACCAAAATGGATACTTCTATGTGTTAATTACAATGGTGTATATACTTCTATGCAAAATCTAGAGAAGGAAGATTTTGGGTTTGAAAGGGTCACATAAACAATGGTACAAAGAGATTTTTCTTCACAATTTAATTTTCTTTATTGACCCCACACGTTTTTAGTTCCATAATGATTTCAAATTTGAAAGATACATTTGAATCATTCTTTAACTTGGAATCTTCATTTTCTTCCCCCAATCCTTCTCTTCTCATTCATCCCCCAATTTGTGGGGTTTCAAAAAATTACAAATGGAACACAGTCATCCACACAGCTACAAATGAATAAATTTACACAGACTTCCAGAGAACTTACAATTGCTTTAAAACCCATTAAAAGCACTTTTCAAAAGCATAACCAAAGTGCTTCCCTCACAAGTCATTTCAAACTCTCAATCTTAGCCCCAAAATCTAATTCAACAGGAGGATTCACCTCCACCTGAGTTCTACCATAACCAAATAACTTAACAAAACAAGAAATCAACTGCTCCTCCAGAACTGCTTCACCAGGAAGCACTGCCTCAGTCTCCCTTCTCAAAGAGGTCACATCTTTATCAGCAATCCCACAAGGAACAATATGCTTAAAATACGTCAAATCAGGATCTAAATTGAAAGCCAGACCATGAGAAGTGATCCCACCTGAAATTCTAACCCCAATCGCTCCAATCTTTCTATCTCCAACCCAAACTCCTGTTTCCCCCTTCTCCCCAGCCCTAGCCTTCACTCCATACAACCCTGCCATCTCAATCATGCTCAGTTCCAGATTCTCCACATATTTTCTAGCCCCAAATCCAACATTTCTAAGGGAAATTATTGGGTACAGAATTGCTTGATTTGGGCCATGGAATGTGATATCCCCTCCCCTCTCTGTGTAGTGAAGTTCAGCTCCTAGCTTCTCTAAATCAGACTCTGGGACTAACAGATTGTGATCAGTGCGCCTTTTTCCAAGTGTGTATGTGGGTGGATGTTGCAGAGACAAGAGGGTGTCTGGGATTTTACATGCCTTTCTAGCAGCGACCAGACTTTGTTGCAAATGGAGTGCATCTCTGTAATTGACAATCCCCATTTTCCATATCTTGAGAGTTCGTGGAAATCTCATTCCCTATTGAAGTTATAGAAACGAATTTCAACAGTTTCTATCTCTCGAACGATATCTAGGGTTCCGAATGCCAGAATCGGAAATTACAGACACGGACGACGGATTTGTAGAAATTCAGATTGGATTCTTTGTGAAGCGAAATCGAAATTTACCTCTCTGCGGTGCTTTCATGGGTGCTGCAGATCTGGTGCCGCCGGAGAAGAAGCTGGTGCGGAGGCGTCGCCGGCCGTCAGGGTTCCGCGGGGAGCTGCGCTTTTCACCGCCTGCAACTCACGCGCCACCGTGGAGAGGAGAGACGCCGCCGCTATTCGAGGTCGCGCCGCCGCTGCTCGGAGATGCTCCGCAGCCAGCGTGAGGGAAGGCAGGAGGTAGTTTCTAGTGGCTGAGGAAAGAGAAGGCCGTCTCTCTTCGAATTAAAATTACAATATTTTAAAAATTAATTCTGAAATAATTATATTTAAATAATTAGTTTTTTTTACAATACTAAAAAAAAAAAAACCTTTGATATCTCATATAAATATCAACAAAATATAAAATATATCATCAAATCACCAATGAATTGCTAACATGAGTATATTTCTGTTTGGAAATTATTAATAAACAATTATCACACATGAAAGGTGGTAGGGGTTTTATCAATATAATCGTTTTTTCTCGTTCTTCCTCTATTTTTCTTATTTTTCTCTTGATGAAACCCGTCACAACCCACTTGATTTCAACATTTTTTTTCTTAATATTTATTTACTAATGCATTAAAAGAAGTCTACACAAATGTGAGAATTGTTATGTTAACATTTTTAAATGGACAATAACAAATGATATAAATGGATTTACTTATGAAATTTTCGAATTTTAAAGAAAAACTTAATTTTTAAAGTTTTAATTGATACAATTATTAATTAAAACTTAATTTTAATTATACAATTATTAGTTTAAAGTTTTAATTGATTCCACTTGCATATTTCGTGAGTATAAATTAATTTTTTTTCTAATTAAATATTAATAGTAAGATTTATAACTTAGGTAAAAAGTGAAAAGAACTTGACTATTAAAGGAAATAACTTTCATAATTTTTTTGGTTTATAGAAACATTTGATATTGATATAATATATATTCTTAAAATTGAAATCTCGATAATCAATAATCGATATTTTAATAATGGGCTACAACTAGTCCAAAAATTAACCCACTCATAATCCTTAAAATAATATAGTCATTGTATTGTGTAGGTAAGCGTTTACTAACCAAATTAAGTGCAAACCGTTATTAGAAACTTTTGAAAATATAAGATTGGATAAATAAACCTTTGAAAATTCAAAAATTTATAAGAAAATTTTTAAAGTTTAGTCTTACCAGTTCAAGCCTCATTTGATAACCATTTTTCTAAAAAATAAGCTTTTATATATAATCATCATCTACCCTTCGATTGGGTCGGGTAAATCAACCCGAATTGATTTGGTTCGATTTAATTTTTGGGTCGTGGTTCTTTCACCACCACTAGTCATTTAACACAGTTTTTTTTTTAATAAGTAATGAGTTAGGAGGGTAATTTTGGCATACTTGACAAATGATTTTGATATATTTTCCATAGGCTATTTTTCAAATTTAGAAGACAGTGTAGTAATGATACATGAAGAAATACCTAATTAATATGAAGAGAAAACTAAGTCAAAGTTAGACCCCATGGTGGTAATGATATATCAACTACTTCATTACATATGCACAACAAAAAACTGAAAGTCAATTGTAGACCCCACGGTACTACTCAAGTGACTCGTACCTTTTCTATTAAAAATGACTCATAAATATTAGATTAGATAGCATTTTAAAAAGACAAATTCAACATAATTTAATTGATTAGGACATATGTTTGGGGAGGAAAATTACCATGCCACGTGGAGGATAGACGTATGCCCATGAGGCCGTAAATCAAATCAGGTCCACCTCGCACCTATCCGAGTTGGCACTTTGTTATTGGGAAATTTGAATCTATGACCTCTCCCATAATTGAAATTAGAGTTATGACCCATTTTGAAAAAAACTTAATTCTGACCCCAACCACCCTTATTTATGACCATTTCCAAAATTTATAAAAGTGAAATTACTCTATTACCCTTATGTTTCAAATCCCACATCTTTCCTTCCTCATTCTCATACCCATCCTCTCCTTACATTCCCAAAAGTAAAACCCTAAACTCATATTCTCAGACCATTCGTCTCCCTCCATCCACAGTAAACATTCTATTCCATCTGTTCCAACGTTTTGCATCCACCATCGTCAATCGACATCATCGTCGTCTTGGATCTCGGAGGAAGCGAGGTATTGGCTTTAATCTTCGAAAATTTTCGTTACTTAGTGTTAAGTTTCCATTTTCAGCACCATCTGAAGTAGCCAATTTGTTTTACGGTAGATTGTAGGGTTCCAAATATCGAAAATAGAAGAATCGTTTTCCAGATTCAATTCCGGACTCAATCACAGACTCAATCCTGAAAATCAAATAAAACTAGGTGAGAGAAGAAAATTGTTAACAAAAAAACAAAAAAATCAAGACATGTCTCGGACCAATCTTGGTTCGAGATCAGTCCGGGATGCATCCAGATCATGTCCCGAACCAAATTGCACCGGGATTGAATGCAAGATTGAATTATTCAATCCCGGTGCAATATAACTTCGATCCCGGATCGGGTATTGATCCAGGACAACGATCTGAACCACATTTTTTTTCCAAGAACTCCGTTCCAGCAGAATATATTGATGGGGAAATATTTCAAATAATTTCAACAATTATAAAGTAAAAATGTTGAAAGTGTAACATACCTAACTTTTCAAAAGTGAAAATATGGAGACAATGATTTTGGATAGCATGGAGACAATGATCAAACATGTTGACAACAATATTTGTTGGAGAGGATTTAAAAAACATGAAGTTTGTTTGTTTTGGAATTCAAACCATATGTAAAACATAAGTTTAGAATTTGGTGGAATAGGTTGGTGAAAATATTGAAGGGGAGGTTGAGTCATAAATTAGGTTTTTTCAAAAGGAGATCATAAATCCAAAATCATTTGTAGGGGGGTCATATATTCAAATTTCTCGTTGTTATTCATGTAAATGGTTTGATTTTCTCCAAGGGCCGATGTGCCAAGTCTGACATGTCCGACCTAACATCCGACACTGGTAATTGCCGGTTGGAAGGTTTGTCGAATCTTCAACCTATAAATAGATGGAAGATATCAGGTATCCAATTTCTCCGATGCTCCTCGACATATCCAGTCAGCTTTGCCACATGTTTAATCTTGACCAGGTCTGACCTCGTCTCATTTTTTGGCATAAACAATATATATATTGATAAAAGAAAGTTAAAATATTCGAATATTCACATTATATATATATATATATATATATTTTGAACTTAAAACAAAAATAGATGAGATGAGAAATTTTGAGCGAGAATTGACTATGATTTTCGAGTGGAGTATGTCTATGAGTACATGTAACTGTAGGTACTTTCCATCTATTGTATAATTGATCAATCGGTTGATAATATCAATTTGTTTTTAGGCTAAATATATATTTCGATCCTTAATATTTAGATTTTTTTTTAATTTAGTCCCTAATATTTTGACACTTTTCGATTATACTTTCTGTTGGTGAATGTTATAATTGGCTAATGATAAACTTACATGACATTATACTTAGTGATTTAGCAGAAATTTAGAAGATGAATTAAGAGATTTATGAGATAGAATTATCTAATTATTTATAAAAATTTCTAAAAGACCTTTCTTATTTTAGGTGGCATAATTTATTTTTTAAACTTCTACAAATTCACTAAATATCACGTCTATAAGTCAAATTTTAACATTTAGTGACATGAAAAATATAATTAAAAAATGTTAAAATAACAAGAACTAAATTGAAAAAAAAATTCTAAAACATAACTAAGACATGTATTCAGCAGCATGGGAAGGTCATTAATTTCGACTAACCCCATGCAACTTTTGCTCGTACTCTTATTAAAGTTGTCCAAACCAATTTGTCAAAGGAGCACTTTTGACAAATTTACATCATAAATCATTTTTTAGAAAAAAAGTCTAAATACACATTTTATAGAGTTGAAAGAAAACTAATTAGATATTAATAAAAACATATGTTTTGAATTTTTGACAAATAAGATTGATCAATCCAGAAAAAGAGATTCTATTTTTCTGCTTATCACAAAACAAAAAAACACAGTTGAAAGACTGCACATAACAGACAAGAAAATTCCCAATACTACCTTTATAATCACCGAACGATACTTTCTATCGAGATCCAGATAGGATCTAGTAACCATGCGACCACAAAAGTTCAAACTCCCTACTATGTACGATGGCTCAACAGATCCTATTGACCATCTGGATGCGATGACAGAGGCAATCAGGTGCAGAATATTCTCTTTCACATTAACTGGCACTGCCCACGTCTGTTTTCGACAATTAAGAAGAAAATCAATCTTCTCCTTCAAAAAACTGGTCGGGGCATTTGTCGTGCAATTCGTTGGAGGGCAGAATAGGAGCCGACATATGACCTACCTCCTAACCATAAAACAAGAATCAACTGAGAGCATCAAAGAATATGTGGCTCGCTTCAACGAGGAATGACTACTAGTCAAAGACCTTACCGACGAAATCTCACTACTTGCTTTCGTATTTGACGTAATAGATAAAAAGCTATCATTCTCTTTTAGAAAAAGAGTTCCAACAACCTTCTCAGAAGCATTGACTCGAGCTCAAAAGTATATGAGCGCAAAAGAGCTACTTTATTTAAAGTGGGGTCTCAACCAAACTCAAGATCAATCAGATCAACGAGACATTCTGAAAAAATATACCCCAACAAGAGTTTCACTAGAACAAGAGTCAGAGGAGAGCAACGATATTGCGATAATACTACCACACTACTTTAAGAGGCCACGAGACAACTCAACAAACATGCATTACTGGATTGTATTTAGTTTCTCTCTCCCTATTCATGGTTAACAATTGAATATTTCAGGTTTTAATAACTCTCTATATGTTAGCATAGGATAGGTTTTCTGATTATGGTTTGTCTTACTTCAAATTATTTATGATTCAATGTTTTAAAAAATATTAACTTATTTATGATTAATTGAAATTCAAGCATCTACGATCTAATTAATTCCTTATTACTTGAAAATTTATCTTTTATTCTAAATAAAAACTCCTCAAGTGGGGGTATGGGTAAGTTAATCAAGACCTAGAAGCAGGCCGATAAGCTAGAAGCCGGTCAGTGAAACTGGGGAAGAGAATCTCAAAGGTGTTGAAAAAAGGCATGCGTTCAAGTCCAACAAGTTGAAACAGAAAGCAGGCAAGCCAAATAGGAAACTCAGGGTATAAAATCATTTGGCAAAAGCCAAAATAGGTTAGAAACCCAAGAGTGTTAATTAACTCAGGGTAAAAAACTGGCAGAAGCCAAGTAGGTAAGAAACTCAAACGTTCCGACTAAACTTAAGGTATAAAATCATTGGTGAAAGTCACATAGGTTAGAAAAATAGGTTAGAAACCCAAAAGTAAACCCCAGGGTATAAAACCAACCAAACAAGTTAGAAACTCAAGGGTGGTACCACTGGCCCAGCTAAAAGTTAGATCTCAATGCTAAAATCTAACGGTTAAAACTAAACGTATAATAGAGCCCAAGATACCTGATTTCAACCAACTATGTCAAAATAGTATGGAGCAGGGAAGACCAACCCATGAAACGACAACCGACAACGAAGAAAGTGTATCGATTGGACTTAGGGTATAAAACCATTGGGAAGCCAAACAGGTATGTTGGAAACCCAAAGTAAACCTTGGAGTATAAAACCATGGGGCAAAGTCCAAACACATTAGAAACTCAAGGGTGGTACAGCTAGCCCAACTAAAAGTTAGATCTCAAGGCAAAAACATAAACAGTTAAAACTAACTAACCGTACGGTAGAGCCAGCCCAACTAAAAGTTAGATCCCAAGGCAAAAACATAAACAGTTAAAACTAACCGTACGGTAGAGCCCAAGAGACTTGACTACAACCAACTATGACAAAAGGGTATGGGGGCTAAGAAAATCAGCCCGTGAGATGACAACCAACAAACGACAAGAGAATGAAGGGACTATTCCGCAAAAAAATCATTCATGGAATGGTCAATTGATAAAGTACTCTCAATATAGAAGATTTAACATTTTACGTTCTATGTTGAGAGTGAAGACTACTGTTATAGGGAAATAAGCGAGATCCAACTATGCGACAGGAGATCAGAAGAAAGCCAAGAAGTGGGCAAGAACCATGAAAGGAGGCCGGCACCTGGCGACCCGAGCCGGCCCTCGACCGACCAATGGTCGGCGTCGATACCTCCTCGGCGCCTAGCAATTCTCGGCCCCTCGACCGGAACCCTAACAGTTCATCTCGAACCATCCCACCTCGAATTTTGATTCGACCTTAAGTCCACAATGAAACGAGCAGACCCAGCATGAGTCCCACTCTGTTTAGATCTCCTTAGTGTATTAGGATTTAACTTATGTAAATCCTAAAGGGAATAAGATTCAACTTATGTAAATCCTTAGGGGATTAGGATTCGACTTCTATAAATAGGAGAGTAAGCTAAACCCTAAAGATATGCTCACAACACCCTACAATTTAATCTCAACTACTTCGTTTCTAACATAAGCATCGGAGCCCGTGTGGCTAGAGCCACACTGGTCTTAGTACTATTCAATTTTGCAAGTGTCATCGATCCCTAGAAGATTGGTACTAATTTGACGAGATCTTAGGAGACCAAATTTCTGCATCAACATACAATATTATAAAAGTTATAATATATTGTATTTTACATGTTTTAATTTTAACAAAAAAATGAAATAAGTTTATAACATGAAGTAGTATATTATCAAAATTTTATATTTTTTAACGTAATTTACGCCTTTTAAATTTTCAAATTCCAAATATGAAAATACTAAAAGATTAAAAAAATGACGTTTTCAGAGATTTGTAAGAAATTAGCAAAAAAATTATTTATTTTTATCTTTGAATTCCGACCTCTAATTTATGTCAACTCGTTATTTGTGGTATTATGTAAGTTTATCATCAATCAATCTTAATATTCACCAACAAACATTAGGGAATAATTAGAATACCATATATTTAGCCATTAGTTTATTGTAATTTCTCTGTCGCCTATTTTTCATAGAAAAAAAAAGAGCAACCAATCAAAAAATTCAAATTAATTTAATAGGATTGAGCAGAAATTCCATTTGAATAGAAGAAATCAAAGAAGACATATAAATAAAAACAAACTAGTTATCAAAGGGTAATAAATTCCACACGGAAAATTCAGCTGTTTGTTTTTCTTCTTCTTTTACCCTTGTGGGGCCGTATATGTGGCTCTATTTTCCAATTAATGCGCCAAATGTCTGGGTTTGTCATGATTAGCTTCCATGAACTTTCAGAAAGAAGTTTGCGTTTTAAAAAAAATTATTAATGTCTTACTTAGTTAAGTTATATTCATATTCAGATTGATAAAGAACGGAAAGATATAGGAACTAAAAGCAATTTTAAAGATGTTTCTGACGATCAGTATAAGTCCGATCTATAACTCTCAAGATGAGAAATAGAATTGCGTACCTGAAGCACCACAAGGTCCACTTCCGCTCGGATACATGGACTTGGACCTAAGCTCGAGTACCTCGAGGAGAGAAGGATGGGAGCTCGTGGAGATACGTTCCAATTACCGCTAAGCTATGCTCACTTTAGGAACGCTTTCAATTGAATTATATAATATCTTCATTTATTTTTAATATTTGGAAGAAATTATTATCAATAATATCTATTATCTTAAATAGGTAATTTGAAAGTAACATTTTTTATTGATCCGTATATCTTTCATATTTTTCTTTAAAAAAAATATAATTTGATAATATAAAAAATAATTTCACCTCAAATACCATTAATTATAAATACTATAGTCGAAAATGAAATCTATGATCGACCGAAACACATTTTAATTAGGTGTGTGGAATTAATATAAAAACAAAATATTAAATTAATAAAAACGAATGTAAAAGGTAAATTACATTAAAGTAATATATAAATTATATGAATATTGGTAAGACATTTTTTAAAAATAGTATAAATTTAGAATATTTGGGACATTTAAAATTCTAGAGATGATACCAAACATCTACATTAATTCTCAAAAAACAAATTAACCCATCCTCGTCCTGTTTATTATTTTAAATATTTATTATTATGTATATTTAAAAGAAATCATGAACAAAACCTAAATGTTTGTATGTGAAATTTAGGAAACACGATCTTTTATTGATAATTTAAATTGGGAAATTTAAATTTTAGAATTTTTGATTTGATGAATTATGATTTATGAAACATGGTTAGAAAATTTCAAGAATTTTCTCCTCCCGTAATTTAACAAATGAATATTCTCCGTGAAGGGTTAGCAAAACTTTGAATTTGAAAAATAGGTTTAAATTTTGTGGAAAGAATGTATGAAGAACATGTCTGTGGGAAATGCTCAACGAAACCAATTTCTGAAGCAAGAAGAAGGAAAAGTAGATAATTTTGAAGTGTTCAGTTCTGTCGAAAATGGCTATGGCTTCCATTGTTGCCTCTGCCTTTCTTCTCATGTTGCTCAGTTTCGTCGTCGTGTCTGCTCAAAGGAATGGAACTCGGATACTCGCCGGCACCTCTCTCATCGCCGGCAACACTTCCGTTCAGCCATGGCGTTCTCCTTCCGGCGATTTTGCATTTGGATTTCACAACTATGGCAATGATTTATTCTTGCTTGCCATCTGGTTTTACAAAGTACCTGAAAACAACGTCGTCTGGTTCGCCGAAGCGGACGACGACAATCCAGTTCTGGCGCCGAGAGGATCGAAGATTGAGCTCACTGCTTCAGACGGCCTGGTTCTTCGAAACCCTAGCGGCGGAGAAATTTGGAAATCGGAGCGTATAACGGCCCCTGTCGCGTTTGGCACGATGAACAATACAGGCAATTTTGTGCTTGTGGATACAATCAATGGATCCGTATGGGAGAGCTTCACCTATCCAACAGACACGTTGCTTCCGACGCAGAAATTGGAGATTGGAGGCGTCATCTCCTCTCGCAAATCGCAAGGTAACTTCTCACTCGGAAGATTTCAGTTTCGTTTGCTTCGAGATGGAAATGCTGTTTCGAACACCATTAATTTGCCCTCTGGCTATCCGTATGATGCATACTATATTAGCAACACTTTTGACTCTTCGAGCACACAGAATTCTGGGAAACAAGTGATTTTTGATGAACATGGATTTCTGTATGTTCTGAAAAATAATGGAGTAAAAGTTAACATTACACAGCTTAGTGATGGTAACCCAATTGAGGCTTATTATTACAAAGCCACCATGAACTTTGATGGAGTTTTGACTGTAAGTTCTTACCCCAAGGGCTCTGGTGGAGTTGCCAATGGAAGCTGGAAAGATTTGTTTAGAATACCTGACAATATCTGTCTTTCTAATGTAAATCCAATTGAAAGACTTGGCTCTGGAACCTGTGGATTCAACAGTATTTGCACACTGAAATCTAATGGAAGGCCAAGTTGTAATTGTGCACAGGGTTATTCCTTGGTTGATCCAAACGATGAGTTTGGTAACTGCACACCTGATTTTACACAAGGTTGTGAAGGAGAAGAAGAAGGTGCTGCCAATTTCAACCATAACCTGTATGAGATGGTGGATCTTCCAAAGACTAACTGGCCAATGAATGATTATGAGCGTTTTCCCACTTCAAATGAACAAGACTGCAAAAGTTCTTGCCTGCAAGATTGCCTTTGCGTGCTAGCGGTGTTTGGAGGCCGTGATTGCTGGAAGAAAAGGCCACCGCTCACATATGGGAGACAGGATGCAAGTATTACATCCGTTTCTTTCCTTAAATTAAGAAAAAGTAATGTCTCACTCGAGAGCTCCCCTGATGATAATAGAACACGAAAGAAACAAACCACAATAATTGTTGTCATGTCTGCACTCTTGGGCTGCTCTGTGTTTGTCATCTTCATATTGCTGGGTTCCAAATGCTTAGGTTTGTTTGCCTTGAAAAAGGAGATATTAGTTGGAACTTGCACAAAGAATGTCGCTTTGGAATGTAATTTAATCCAGTTTGCTTACAAAGATCTTTACAAAGCAACAGATGGTTTCAAGGAAGAACTAGGAAGGGGATCTTGTGGCATTGTCTACAAAGGGACAACAGAAGCTGGTCCTGTTGCTGTCAAGAAACTGGACAGAATGTTTGAAGCAGACAAAGAGAAGGAGTTCAGAACTGAAGTGAACGTGATTGGCCAAACGCACCACAAAAACCTGGTTCGTCTACTCGGATATTGCGACGAGGGGAACAACCGTATGCTTGTCTACCAGTTCATGAGCAATGGCTCATAGTCGAGTTTCCTCTTCAATGGCGATCTGAAACCGAGTTGGAAGCTTCGAGCTCAAATAGCCATTGAAATTGCAAGAGGACTGTTATATCTACACGAAGAATGCAGCACCCACATCATCCATTGTGATATAAAGCCTCAAAACATACTTCTGGATGAGAATTACCATGCCAAAATCTGTGATTTCGGGCTGGCAAAGCTGTTGAAGGTGGACCAAAGTAGAACTGAAACTGGCATAAGAGGGACAAAAGGGTATGTGGCTCCAGACTGGTTCAGATCTTCGCCCGTGAACGCGAAGGTCGACGTGTACAGTTATGGAGTGTTGTTGCTTGAGATCATATGTTGTAGAAGGAATGTGGAGATGGAAGGAGAGGGAGCAGTTTTGAGTGATTGGGCCTATGACTGCTATGAGCAAGGAAAGTTGGATGTTTTGATTGAAGGAGACATGGAGGCCATGGATGAGTTAGGTGGAAAGATTTGTGAAAATTGCAATTTGGTGCCTTCAAGAAGATCCATCCAAAAGACCCACCATGAAAAATGTGATGCTAATGCTTGAAGGTAATGAACATGTCTCTCTTCCTCCATGCCCTTTCCCCTTCACCTCCATAGTTTGAAAGTCTTTTATCCATTGTACTTTTATCTTTTTTGTTTTGCCTTTTCTTTCTTCTTTCTAGATGTGGAAAGCCCACTCTTTTAGGCCATACTATTTCTTAGATTTTGTAACTGATGTAAACTATATTGTTTACTCTGCATGTATGCTAATGTATTAAAGTAGATATGTTTTCTTTTGTTCCCTGTTAATAAATATATAAATCACTTCTGGTACCTATATTTTTGGCTCGGTTCATTTTGGTATTTATAGTTTCAATTTTTATCCATTTTAGTGATGTTCTTTTAAAACGTAATTTAAAAAAGTGACCAGGTCCTTATTTGTAAAATCTAAACGCAAAGAAAACCTGCTAATACAAATTTATGACTACCTTTCTATAGTGGGTGAAATGTCATACTAAAATTACGATACAGAAAAATGAGATAAAAGTAAAAATGAAAGTACCAAAATGGACGGCTCGAAAGCATATAGAGACTATAATGAACAAAAGTTGAAAATATAAAAATTAAAATGAACAAAAGTAAAAAATAGAAGGATAAAAAAAGTATTTAAACCAAAATAAAATTACCTCTTTAGTTACCTTGTTGTAATAGGGACCACAATACCATCGAATTTGGGGATGAGATGGAGATGGAAATGGAGAATTTTTCCTTCTTGTTTTGGGATGAGGGATTGGGAATGTCTTTCCCACCCATCTTCATCTCCAATTTCCTAAAAATTATTAATTTTTATATGTTTATTCACTTTTGAAATCATAAATTAATGAAAAATAGTTAAATCTTTTGATGAAATGGATGATTAGAAATAATCCAAATATGAATAGGAGATTTTTTTTTTTCTTGGGTGGTTTGGATTTCTCATTCATTATGTAACTTGCGAATATTTCGTGATTTTTCTCATTATAATTATGGTACAAAAAATCAAATAAGAGGAGGGTCTCTTATCTAGGTTAATTATGAGTGGCAATATCATTAGAAAAAATTGGTAAGACCATTAGAAAAAACAAGCACAAGAGTATTGGAGAATTTCAATCACACAAAAACTCAAACTTGGATCATACAAATTTATCCCTAAGCATCTTGCAACTTACCACTATGCTAACATCCTAAGTACCACTATGCCAACACCCATGCAAACATTGTATTCTTTTATAAAAACAAAACTTTAAATTTATTTTTTAAAACAAAAAAAAATTATGAATTTTTTTAAATTAGAACAAAATAAAAAAAAAACTTTTTATTTATTTCATTTTATTTCTTAATTAAAAAAAGGTTTTATTTAGAACAGATTTTATTTACTTGAGATTCGTTTCAGAACTATAATTAACAAAGTTGTTTAAAAGGATTTTATTCCTTTATTTATAAAACTTATCGTTTTATGCTTTTTTTTTTTGCAAAATTTATTTTAATAAATTTTTTTTAAAAAATGATAATTTAAAAACTCTCAAAATCCTTTAAAATAAAAAATAAAAAAGCAAAACACTTCTTCTAATTTAAAACAAACTTTTATTTATTTTACAATAAGAAAAGAAAAAGAAAGAAAACTCATTTTCACTTTTAAACCAATTATTTTCAAAACTCTTTACCTTTTTTTTTTAAAGAAATTTATTTAAAAAAATTTATTTAGAAAAACCATTTTTCAAGCAAGATCCTTTATTTTTTTTAAAAAAAAAACCTTTTAAATTACTTTAAAAGGAAAAAAAAAACTCTCTTTATTTTAAAGATTTTGTTGCAAAATCTTTATTTATATGCAAAAATTTAAATATATATTTTCTTTTGAAAAAAAACGAAGAAAAGATCAATACTTTTTGTGTGCTGTAGATGGATGAAGATGGTGACTTTTAGAGACAGAAGGAAATGAAAAAGGAAAAGAAAAGTGGGTTTTCAATAGTGAAGAAGATGAGAAAATAATTGGGTTTTTTTTACTCTCACTCTTCCACAACTTTCTTCTGGCTCTCCCTTTCTACGTGCTCTCCGTGTTCCTGCTCTCTACCCTCCCTTAAATACGCACATACAGTAAGAAATAAAAAAGAGGGAAAGATGGAAGAAAAGAATGAAGAAAGAGCCACATTAGTTTGTGGGTTTCGATGAGAGAAAATAGGAAAACAAAACAAGATATTCTTATAAAAAAAAACAAAATGCTTTTAATAAAATCAAATTTTATTTAAACAAAATCAAAATTTAATTTTTTATTAATAAAATCAAAATCTTTAAATAAATCTAACATTTTTTAATTTAAGTTAATTTAAATTTTATTTTAAAACTACCAATAAAGTAAACTTATGATATTTTAAACCAAAACAATTAAAATAAAATTTAATAAAGTAATAATAAATAATAAATAATAAATAAATACAAAAATTAAGTCGGATCAAATATGGTGTCTACAATAACATAGTAGGAAAAAAAAGGGAAAAAGGAAATATGGAAAACCTTGTTAAAGACAACGATCCTCATGACTTTACTTTTGGTTTCACCCAAATGACCTGATACCTATGGAGATAATTGTCATCTCTTAAAAGTTTGTCAAATGATTAATTTTTTAGTAAATTTGTCAAATCAAATTAAAAAAAATTTTCTATACAAGAAGATTTTATTATTTTTTGAAAAAAATTTATTGGGAAAAAGCATGGAAATTCACCTTTAATAAAAAAAATCTTTTTGATTTTATTACTTTTTTTAAATTTTATTTAAAAAGATTTAATTTTGAAAAAGAAATCAATATTGAAATCAAATACTTTTTTATATTTATTTTTTGATAAAACACACAAAATAGAAAATATTGACCATAAAATAAAAACAAAAATACTACGAAATATCCGACAAATTTAGGAGTCTACACCTATAATCATTTCCTTCTCTAGCCAAGAGACTTTGTTTCCATCCTTCCTACAAACCCCATAGACGAATAGTTGTTGGGAGATTTATCCAACTTTAAATTTAGAAATCCTCTCTTTTTTATGTTGCAAAGTGATATTCAAGGGATATATTGAGTGTCAATCCGGCGCAAGTCAAATATAAGATATCTATTATGGTTTCACTCTATAATTATTGAATTAAAAGAAAAAGGGATATATTGAGTAAAAAATAATGTTTTTTTCAATCTAACCACATTAGAAAGAAAAATTAGAGAAAATTGGATAGACTTAAAACAAAAATTACACGAATTTTCTTTTTGACGACGAAATTAAGGCACCTTCGAAGTCGCAAAAAATTATTTATTGCAACTAAATTTCATTTAGTCGTCAAAATTTTCGTATAATTTAAATTTTTTGATTTAATTTTTTGGCAACGAAAACTTCTAGCGACAAAACATAAACCTCGTCGCTAAATGTACCTTTTGGCGGCGAGATTAATTTCGTCGTTAAAAGCTTTGATTAAATTGTTTTTAATTCAAAATTTTTTTTGCGACAAAACTTGAAATTCGTCGGAATAAGGTATATTTGGTGAATTTTAAGGTGACGAAATTAGAGGTTCTGTGACGAATATTTATTTTGTTGTCATAGATCACGATTTATTTCACGACGCATATTTATTTCATTGCCTTCCGGATAAACCTAAAGCGATGGGCATCCAAAGTCATGTGGATCAGGTCAGCAAAAATTGGGGCCAAAATGGAGTGTACTAGGCTTATTTTGTAGCACATCGATTTCAGGAGTTGAGTGCACTTGGACAACCTATACGCAAGACAACCAGCAGCCAGAGCGCTGACACATTGCGTCAAATCACAGGTCGTTCCAAAGGATCACCCAGGACACCGACATTCCCCCTTTTGCAGGACATAGAGGGAAGTAGAATCACTATTGGTCTCCACAACCCCTTGGTGCAACATTCTACCACCTGTGTTCGCCTCTCCACAATCCCTTTCAACGTCCCTTCCTTCCGCATATAAAAAGGGAGGAACAACCACAACTGAGGTAAGCCAAAATTTCTTACATAACTCTGGGTGAGAATTTGGCACACACAGTTAATCTCAAGCACTCTCATTTCAAAATTACTGCTTCCTTATTCTACTTGCTCCATACACGTTTGCTTTTATCTTAAGTTCAAACTTTGACATCAGAGTGCATTTGGCAGAGTACCACACTGATGCTAGATTTCTATATGCAGATAACCTAGAGAATTAGAAGACGAAGACATACGTGGCACCTACATAGACACCTACATAGTACTTGCCTAGAAATCGGCATCAACATAAAGGATTTTTATAATCTTATAGGTTAAGAAATTTATCTCACGGTAGATGGTAGCATTATTAGCATCAATTTTTTTTGGTAAATATGTCAATTCGAGCGTAGTTAATCTAGTCGAGGTACGACATAGACTTTGTTTTTTGTTATCTATTTTGATAAAGGGGGTTCTAGCCTAAATTTTGAATTCAAATACAATGAAAAAAGAATCTAAAATCTTATCATAAAGAATAAGAAAAAGAATAGATTATAAGGTGGCATGTAAGTAATTTGAAAAAATATGATAACTTTATATGAGTTATATTTCCTTCAAAAAAAATTTTTTTAATACAATAGGGGTCGGGTTCGAACTCTTGATCAGAGATATGTGTTTTAACCACTTGAACTATGTTCGATTTGATATTTTTCTTTCTAATTAAAGTATAATATTTTAATTAAAAATCTATGACACAGATTTTTAACATCTAGACATAAAAAGAGATATACATATTTAAAAATTTAAAAATATTTTAATAATTTTTTTAATATCTGTAAGTATTCAGATCAGCTCGACTAATTTTATAGGACAACCGTCTCATCCGACTATAATTGATTATCAAAAAACTCATATAATATTAAATCTTAGGTAAATCGTCATTCTAGTTTGTTTGAACTCATTCTTTTCCATTTTCTAAATTTCATACACTACAATATCATATTTATACAAGCATACACTAACATATACTTCCTTTAGCTAGCATTAATATATCAAATAAATAATGTCACAACCATATTTTATAATTTACATAGAATTTAATTTTTGTCAGAGAATAATTAAAACAAGCAAAGGAATTATTTTGGTTATGGGTATAGAGAAAAATAAAATATAATATTATATAGAGAGGAAATGTTTGCTTGTTGGATCCTCTACCCAAGATTGAGACGATTGTTATTCATAGTTCAAAATATTTGTCGACATATGGACGTTTCCATCGACATTTCATATTTTTATGGGTTCAACATCGACATGATGAGTAAATTGACAAAATATGAAAAATATCAATAAAATGTCAATATATATAGTATTAATATTAATTATTTTTAATTTATTTAGAACTAAGAAAATGTGTATTTGTTAATTTAAATATTTTTTACGATTTTTTAATTTCCATAAAATATTTTAATTTAAATAAAATGTGTATTTCCATAAAATTGAGACCTTAACATTTTCATGACATCGACATTTAAAATCTTACAGCTATCTCTATTTATTTATTTATTTTTCTTTCAACCTGCATCTTATATTTTAAATATATAATATAGTTTTAAAATGAATATTTATTATTTATTTTATTTTTTAAAAGAAAAAGTTTCTCTTCACTCTCAATTTTTGAATCCACCTCTAACAATGAAAAAGTGAGTGGTGGACGATAGGACATCTCATGCTGCCTGGTAAGAAAGTATTGTTCATATAATTTTGTGTTTAGATGTCTAATTGTGGCCTCTAAGCTTTTTAGAATCATATTATTTTGTTTAGATCTTGGAAATTTTATGTGGAAATGTGTGTTTAAAACTATGCATAGTATGTTACGGGAGGAAACATGGGCAGCCACGTATTACACAACCAAAGGAAGTAGGTTGAATTAGTGATGTCAGCAAAGCTCTGTGGGACGAGTCAGGTCGACCTCGCCTTACTGTTACCATCGTCAGTGCGTGTGAAAGGGGGATTTGACTGAACGTGGTTAGCGCCCATCACCATTTTGACCACGCCCGAAATCAAGGGAGAGAATCTCGACCGTCCTTACCAACCAATTCAATTTCAATTGCCTATAAAAGGAGTGAGTAATTGTTACCTAGGTATGTTGGAATCTCCGCTCATATACTACACACATTCTCTCCTCCATGAGTTAAAATGAAAAAAGGAAAAAAAAATAGATAATAGATATGAAAGAAAAGAGGAAGAGAGAGAAAAAGAAGATAAAAATGAAAAAAAAATCATATAATTTAAAATAAAAATAATAAATATACAACTCACCGATGCCACATCAGCATTTAGTTATATCACTAACGGAAGTTTAATCCAGGGAACCTTTTAGAACTATTTTTCAAAGGACTAAACTGTAACTTTTTGAAACTTAGTGACCAAATAGAAATCTAATATTAAATTCAGGGACTAAAAGTATATTTTACCTGATAAAATATCATATTTTATTTGAAATATTTATAAATAATTTGTCACGTTTGATTCTATTATACCTTAGTAATGACATAAATTCTAAAAGCGGAACAATAATAGTCAAACTTTCAATGAAACAAATTAAAGTCAAAGGGTAAAGCATATTTCACTAAAATTGTCATTTAATCTAAAACAAGTATTATTGGTTATCCTTGTAAAAATAGTTTAGCCTAGTTCTCTTTTTTACCCTTTTAATAATAAAAAAAAAAGTTTTAAGACTTATTCAAATTCATATATTTTTAATTAAATTGACGTATTAGACCCCATATTGTTAATATATAATATTACATCATGAAGCTCATTTCTCACATCTATAGGTAGCTCACTTTTAGATTTTTTTAATTAACTTCAATAAAAATATAAGTAGAACTTTCGAAAGCAACAAATTAAAATTATGGTCAAAGCATAGGGCCTCTATAATTTTACCTAATTTTAATTTCATTTCAAATAACCAAGGGGTGAAAAGTAAGATGTTGATAGTCTCAACCCAGGACTTAATAATGACAAGGTTAAAAAATGGTAATGAGAAACATTTTTGGATTTATTGTAACTTGTAAACAGACCTGTTTTAAATGATAAAAAAAAAATGGAGAAAAAAACACAACTTTTCTTTTTTTCCTATCAAATTTCTACCAAAAAAGAAAACAGTTAAATTATAAGTATAATTTTAAAACTCCCTAATCTTTTATTAGGGTAATATTTATTTAATCCCTATATTTTAGAGCGTTCTTAATGTCTCTAAACTTTCAATTTTATATTAATGAATAAGTCTCTACCATTAATTTGTTTAACTACTACATAATAAGCTAATTATGTTTTTTTTTTTTATAAGATCATACCTACGATGAGTTGGTTTTAGGCATAATCCTAAAATAAGACAATCAACATATGAAATTAGTGCTAGGCTAACAAAGTTAATGACAACAACTTATAAGATAGGAGGATTTATAGTTAGACGGCAATACATACCAAAAGATTCGAAGAAGAAACGTGCATAAAGAGTATATAAACCAACCCATCATTCAATATAACTATTAACATTAGTGTAGCAAAGGGATACGCACATACGTTTGAGTGACCTTAGTCGATAACCTACAAGCATGATTTAATGGCTAAACTAGGCCATTTGGACAAAGTTTCTCAAATTTGAAGTCTCTATTGCCTCTCCTCTCTAAGTAAAAGTGAAATCTCGAGGTAACTGAAAGAAGTACAAAAAACGGTCAAATGTAATTACCAACGTCAAAAAGAGTCAGTTTAGAGATTTATTAGAAACTTTTCAAGTTTACGAACAGTGGATAGAATTTTGCTTTAATAGCTAAACTAGGCTCGTGAGAGAGATGAAATCAGAGGTTATATAAAGAGAGACCCAAATTTCCCCAAGATTTTCATGACATCACTGAGAAATTTCATTGCGTTGAGTGATACAAATTTACCGGAGTGGCCTCGCTGTTGGACTTTTGCCTCTCACTACACACGCTATCAACAAGAAATATCTCTTTACGCCTCTCTCTCTCTCTCTCTCTCTCGTGCTGCCTCTGATTCATATGGGCAGGTCTTTAAGTGGCCTTCCCCACTGTTTCCCATATCCCCAATCCTTCTTATTCCTCTTTTCGATTTCAATGTTCATTTAAATCCCCTCTTCAGATCATTTCTTATGCCTCTGAAATCTTTCCCTTCTTCAACAGCACCACCCACATGAATCTTTCTCTGTTCTTCTGAGTTTCTTTTGCTTCTTTCACAGATTGAAGCTAATGGGTCCTCTCCCATGATTCGTATGGGCTTCGCTTCTTGTCAGGTTTTCCCTTCTTTTTATTTAAGTTTATTTGCTTCTTGTTCTTGTTCTTGCTCTTGGTTCTTGTTTTGGCTGTGAAATTAGATTAGTTTGTCAATCAACTGCTGTGGTTTTGCTGTTCGAAGAATCTTGCCCCTCCAATCGGGTTTTGGTGCGTTCTTGGTGGATCTTGGTTTGTTTCTGCTGTTGGGAGATTTTCATTGTTCTGATTATTTGAGTTTCTGCTTCTGTAAAATCTTAGCGTGCTTCGAATTGGGTGTCTCGGATTGAGATTTGTTCATCTTTCTGATTATGTTATCTTGTTCTTTACTGCGATTTTGTGGGTGGGTTCAAGAATTGAAGAAATTTCCATGGAAGTTTCATTAGTTTTAAATTTTCAATTTCCCTCTCTGTAGTTCTTTTTGAATGTGCTGATTGCTTGCTATGTCTTCTTTTTGGGAATTCTTCTCTAATGGGATTAACTTTGTTTTGCATTTTGGTTGAGTTTTCATCTCTTGGGGAATGGTTTTGAACTCCGATAGCTTACCTAATGTGGGGAAGTCAACTTCAAGTTTGAGAAACTTGAGTGTCCCAATAGCAACTCCGATTTTGTTTTATGCTAAACTTTAAATTGATAGGTTAGAGCATATAATACTCTTAACATTTTCCTCTGCTCGTGGGCTGTTGATATCAATTAGGAGAAAATAACATCACCGGGATTCAAACTTAGAATCTACATCATTTATCCCCAAATCTTAAGTTGATTGGTTTGAGCATCTCTATTCTTTTATATATACTCTTAACACTCCCATCACGTGTAGGCTTAGATATTAACTTGATTCACGAAGCCTAGCACGTAAAACATCGATATCAGTTGCGAAGAAAACAATGTTGGATTCAAAATCAGGAACTCCTAGTTGATATTATGTTAAATACCCTCGAACCCAAAATATTGAGTTGATAGGTTAAATTATATTTGATCTTTTATTTATATTCTTTAACGTGTTGTTATCTTTTCGTGATTCAAGATGAAAGAACTTATGATTAAGCTTTGATAAATTTGTTATTTCTCTGAGCTTCTTGACCTATAATGTTCTCACTGTGATGTAACTTTGGTCTAGTTCTCACTGTATTCTACTGATTAGGTAATTTCCATACAAAAAGTATGTTTGAACTGAGGAAGTATTATAATTGCATCAGATGCTTTATGCTTGATGTATATCCATCTGCTGGTTACCATATTTGAGTGTGTCAAGTTCGTTTAGTTCCCGAGTTTCTTACTGTAAGAGAATCAAAATCTTTTCATATGTAATTGCATTGTGCTTGTTTCGTGCTTGGCAGTGGTCGTTTGTTGCGTGATTTTTCTTTTTCCATTCTTGGAGTTGTTGAAGAGGATGGGTAGAGGGCGAGGAAAGGGGAGGAAGTTGAGCGTCACGAATCATGATGATGCTGGGAGTGGTGAGGAGGAGAAGATTCCCGCGCAAAAGCGGAGGGGAAGGCCACAGAAGCCATTGAAGGATGAGATTGACGAGGAAGAAGGTGAGAATAAGATAGAAGACGACGACGGAGAGAACCTGAAAGGCGGGGACATCATCAGCAATAAGGAGATGAAAAGCCCTGCTGCAGCAGAGAATGGGAAAAGGAGGAGGAGAAACTCACAGGCGAAAGAAAAGCTCGACTCGGTCAAAGAGGAAAACGGGGATGGAACGCGATCAAGCACCGATGAATCAACCAGATCAAATGGATTCCGCCACAATGGAAGCAGGCGAAAAAGCAAGCCCCGTCGAGCTGCAGAAGCGGGCGTCAACTGCAAGTGAAACCAACTTGAAAAGAATATGGTTCTCTCACAGAAGGAGCAGATAAAATTTTTCAAGGTAGAAAAATGAGGCATAGTGATCTTCTAGATTACCATATTTTTCTGTTTCTCAATCTCTCATCTCTATAACTATTTCCATCACCATTCCTTTTCTTATTCCAAAAAAAGGAGAAAAAAAAATTTGTTGAATTGAATTGAGGATTCACTCTGCTGGTTTTAGTATTCTTTCTCTCTACTTCCACATTTTGGATTTTTTTGACAGTCATCTCTTTGTTCCATTACAATAGAATCTAACTAAGAATCAATATTTTTTTCCTTTTCTTTTTTTCATAATTTCTGCTTATAATGTCTTCATTTCTTCTCAATCTGATCATCACTTGTGAGAAAAAAAAAAGCTTCAAATTCTTTGCAATGGGTTCAAGAAATGATGTATGATGAGGTTGTTGAATAAAGTGAGAGTCTTGATGCTGAAAGGATGTGGGTTTGGTTTACTCTTCTTTTTGGGATGTTATTATGTCTGATAATAAACAAACATTTTTTTTAAATGTCTTCATGGTGGAAAGAAGATTGTGTGGCTTCTTGTTTTCAGGGTGAAAGAAGGTTTAAATTCTATTTTGCTTCCTCGAGACGGTTTCTTTTTGTTTTTAGAGATCTTATGATTATTTCATTTTCGTTTTTAAACTTTTAAAGTATATCTTTAGTACTTCCTAAGCTTTCGAAAATTTTTACAAACTAGATTTTTACAAACTACTTTTTCTAGTTTTTAAAATTTGATTTAGATTTTGAAAGTATTTTTAAAGAGCATTGTGGAGTTCATAGACTTAATTTTAGAAGATAAAAAACACAAAACAAAATGGTTATGATAATAATTTTGTTAGTTCTTGTTGTTTCTCGATCATAATTGTTTAATTAAAAGACAACATAGCTTCGACCATGTTTATTATCATGTTAGTGTGGACATGTTTTAGAACCATATAATTAAGTTGGCTCTAAGATAAGTATTCAGTGAACAGATATTAGGTGACTAAATAATAGTAAGAATCAAATTAATTTATAAAAAAATTTAGGACTAGAATAAACTTTTTTTAATATTAGGGACCAAAATGATAAATTTATATTTATTTAAATCTATAAACAGTTGAATAATTGAAAAAAAATATAATATTATAAAAATTGATAAATAAAAATTAGGGTTGAATTCAAAGAGATTACTGAGTGAATTAGGCCTTTTAGCAAAAGCTTATTGGATTTAGATGGAGGTTTGTTGGGCTAAACACATAAGACCTGACCCATGATCTAGTCCAAAGTTTTTATTTTTTATTTCTTTTTTACTTTATATATAATTTAACTAATAAAAGATTTATTTTATTAGAATTCTAATAAGATAGGTTTACCATGTCTTAATCAATTGATAAGCTATATATGCTCGACTTGGCCAATAAAGTCCTAAAATGAATTTAGTCCCTATTTGAGAATGATTTTAGAATGAATGATTTTAGCCTCGGCTAATCGAATACCATAACGAAGGGCCAACAGTTCTTGGATAAACAAGTTGTGGTCTGGGTAGGAGTTCCTCAGGGAATAATATTAGTAAATATGAAAATTTGTAATTATCGCTTATGTATTAGATTTTAGGGATTAGTATATTGATAGGCTATTTAGAGACTATAATTACATAAAATGATTGAATGTATAAAATTTACACTTTTGTCGTGAAATAACTTTTTTGTCATGAAACAACTCCATTCTAGTACCCATCACCCAATTTACTAGTATATCCTTTTGTATCTACACCTCAATAGTAATTAATTTTTAAAATCCAAAATTAGTTACTTGGGAGGTTACATTTTAGATCCTTAAATTTTGCCCAATTAGAATTTCCAAAAATAAAAAAATACCAAAATCCCCAAAATCCTCAATTATTGAAAAAATTCGTCTCTTTCGTTCTATTTTCGTCCGTTCCTTCGTCTCCGGCCGCCATCTCAGTTCTTCTTCGTCGCCAGAACAGTCCGTCTAGCTTCTCCTTCGTCTCCGATCGCTCGTCCATTGTTTCTGTCTGTTTATCCCGAAGTTTCTTTTTCGTCGCCGGTTGCCCGTCGCCTATTATTCGAGCCCTCCGTTTATCCCGACCATTGTCTAGTCGCCGACTGAAAGGTTTGTAGGTTATTTGCTTTGTTTGTTAATTGTGGAGGGATATAACCGTATATACTTTATAGTCAGATATAGGTTATATCCCCATATAAGTGTATGTTATAATGACTATAGTTTATATCACCATTGTTAAGTGTATGGTGCTTAAGTTTATAGCCGATATAGTTTATATTTCCATATAAATCAAAAAGTAGCCGGATATAGTTTATATCTCCATATATAAAAATAAATAAGTGTATGTTATAATGGTTATAGTATTGAAAATTTGGCCAAAAATTGGAATGAAATGAAAAAATATTTTGTAATAAATTTCATTATTTAGTAGAATATATTAAGAAGTAAATTTGGGGATTATGAGAATAATTGAATATTTTGTAATAAATTTCATACTCTAGTAGAATATATTAAGAAGTAAATGAGAGGATTATGAAAATGATTGTATTTAGGTCCCACAATAATTCAATGTTTACAAAATCAAACATTAATCTTTTGTATTTAAATAAAAGACTAATTATAATAAATATAAATACCATAAATAAGGATAAATTTAACATTTGGAAAAAATTTTAAATCCAGAAATCAAGACGGTAAAATTTGTAAACATTGAAAAATAAGTTTCCAAAATAGCTCATCCAAGACATTATCTCTAGATTTTATTTGTTTTCATTTTAATTCTCGTATTCTTGCCAACTTTTTTTAAATAGAACATGTGGGATGAGGGAATGAACTCAAAATCTCTCGGTTAGAAGTATATACTAATTATGCCAACTTGATCATAATTTCTTTCGTTAAGACATTAATGATATGTTTAGTAATGTTTTGTTTTGTTTTTTTTACTTGTTTTCTCTTTTTTATAATAAATAAAAATAAAATTGTGTTCGGTAATTCTTCTTCGTTTTTGTTCTTTATTTTTTTTTATTGAAAAAAGCAATATAAATATGTATGTCAACCATGTTTTATTTCTTGTTGACTAAAATTTTAAATGGAGAAGATAAAAATTTTATATGAAAATGAATTTTTAATTAAATATTAAAAATTTTATGTTATATTCCTTATGCATTTTTATAAGTCAAGATGATAAAATAATGCTTTTATTTATATTAAAAAAAAACTAGCACCAAAAACAAAGGAGTAAAAAAACATGATTTTGTCATTTTCAAAATTTTGGAGATGTTTTTTAAAAATGAGATCCATAATCTAAAAAACACGAGTTTATAAAATTGTGAAGCAAACCTGAGTTTGCCTTAACAAATCCAACTCTGGGTTTTGAAAATGGAAACCAAACATCTCCTAAAAAAATTGAAAACAAGAAATAAGAAGGTTATCCAACGTTAATTATGTTATGGGCTTACTTTTATAGCTTGGATCAGGGTGGCCCATGCCAAAATAGTAACTTGGGAAATCCTAAGAAATGGCTACCTACAGGATATCATAATGAAAAATGACTAAAATTTTCGTAAATTGGATATATGACCATACTTGATTTCCTGAATTTAAGGGGAGAGGTAGAATTCCATATTTACCTCTCCGCACATTTCATGTCCAGCCCTTGCATCATTTCTCCATTTTACCCGTCCAGTTTTCAACAACCCACATTCCATAAATCACATTATTAAACTACCAAATCCCTAAAATTTGTCCAATTTTAAAAATATTATTAATTTGTCTCCAACATATAATCTAATTAAAATCTATAACAAACCTAACTAATTGGGTAGTAAATTCCGTTGCAATCACATCTTCTAAATATTCTTACACTCATCAATCCCCATTTTTTATCAACCCAACAATCTCAAGTTCCTTCAGACATGGAGGGATCAACAAATCGAGCAGTGAATGACTTGTAAAGTTTGAGTCTCCGATTCCGTGATCGAAATTTATCTGGTAAGCATTTAGATTATAAGAAGAATTCAACTCAACAATACAAGAACTGAAGGTTTTTTTTCTTCTCCTTGATAGTTTTCTGCCACAAAATATGTCATCCAAACCGTTTGTTGTCATATTCATTTGAAATGAAGCTCTACTCTAGCTTGATTTTTTGGATGTGCGGATTGTGTCATTTGAATCCTATTTTAATTTGTGCATTTGAGTCCTAATTTGCAAAAATTAGAAGCAAACATTGGAATAATCGATATTTAAGGTAATATAATTATTGAGAGTTGAGAAAAAGTAGTAGAAGATAGGGAAGATGATTGGAAAGGAAAATGAGTATCCTTCCTCATGAGTCATTATAGTGAGCAGTCATATGATCTCATTGTTGGGTGTGTTGCTCTAAACTCGTAGTTTGTATTTTGTAAAAACAAATGTCTATTTAATAAAGTTTTATTCAATAAATTTGTTGTTGAATCATCGCTTTGCATTGTCCAAAATCCAATAAACTAAACATCCAAGGTTATTTATGATGTAATCGGGACAGTATATATACTGCGTATATAGTTGATATACGGGGTATATAGTTGATATACGGGGTATATATTTGATATACCCCTGATATATGAATGGATAATGTCCCGTGAATAACCTAAAGGGTCTATAATATATGGATAAGACTGGGTACCTTATCCTGGCAACACTATGGATACGGCCCACTCTGTAAAGGTTACAGACGACTCGATCCAGGTCGTTCGTGTGGAGACATGCGAGTAGGGGTATCCTATACAATGAGTTTGTATAAGATCGGACCGCGAAATAGGCAATCTTTAGATGTAACACCGTTAACTAATAGATTGACATTTCTTAGAATGACCAGGCAACTCATTCTCAATCCTGAGTGAGTTATGGACTCCTGCCCGTGAGGGCTCGTCCTTTGATCTGTATGAGTGAGAGTGGCCCGAGTCGCCGACTCAACATTCCTACCATTTTGGGGACGAGACCGAGTGAGGAGCTGGGAACATAACTTCACAAGATGAAATTCACTCCTCCCGACTTTAGGGGAGTAGGTGAGTGTTTCCTTAAATGCTGACTCCGGGACTTGAACAAGGGGCCCCACCCTCTCATTGGCCGAGAGGGACTTCTGGTTATTGGTTGGACCATAACCGGGTTGTTCATTAGAGGAGCAGTGGTGTTTAAGGAGTAAGATGTAACTCAGGGGTAAAAYGGTAATTTGACCCAACTTGAGTTACGAACACTCGTGAAGGATTRACTCGTCATTAATGGTCGTATATCCA